TAAGCTCGTAGGCAAAAAAGAAAAGTTTCAAATTTTGGACATCGAATGGATTTAAATGAAGAAATTTAGTTCTATTGGAAATTAATAGTTTACAAAGTATTACGTATCCTTGAGTGTGATAATCGAGAAGATTTTGGTGGGAAATAAGGACAATAATTGTTTTCATATACAATTTTAGTTCATGTCCGACGACGACCTCTACCGACGATACTAACCTGACTCACTCAAATGTGAGTTATTCTCATTAGTTCAAAAATTACACGTTTCAGGTGAGTGTCTTATTTGAATAGTTCAACAGTATATTGGTGAGTAGATGGCTGCGGTCCAATCATAAGTTTCGCAATAATCCACTTATTTGTACCTACTTGAACAATAACTTATTGTATAAAGTCAAAATTTATAACATTATGATTATTCACTTTTTATCAATTTGCCTTTCAACAGGAATTAGTCATGTTACTTTACCAAACTAGTAATATAATGTGACAAGTTATTCAAGTACAAATGCGTCAATTGTTGCGGAACTTATGGGTGGACCTCTGCGGGACGAGCGCAGCGAGTTCCGCAGCTATCTATTCATCAATATGTTGTTCAATTACGATACTAACCTGACTCACTCAAATGTGAGTTATTCTCATTAGTTCAAAAACTACACGTTTCAGGTGAGTGTCTTATTTGAACAGTTCAACAGTATATTGGTGAGTAGATGGCTGCGGACCCCCCCTTGTCGACCTTGTCGTTGGTGGGGGGGCTCAATCGTTGTGGAAGCAACGGCGGTAAAAAGCGTCCGAATGGGAATCGTTCCGAGGGAATACCCCGAGGTCACACTAACCACGAAACAGCTGACAGACCTAGAGAGTGCTCTGGTTGATGAAATGTAGTAACGTAAACGGTAGTTAACCTGAAGTTCGCAGGAATCCATTTCAGGTCAGGACTGATAATGGTGGACTGCGAAAACGAGCAAACAGTCATCTGGCTGAGGGAAACGGTGCCCCGGCTGCAAGAATGGAAGGGGCCGGATCTAATTGTGTGCACGGGAGAAAACATCCCGAAAGCACCCACCATAACGGTCTTCCTTCCCAGGAGCAAAGGGCAAGAACTGAGAAACTCCTCAAGCTCCTAAAAACCCAAAATGCCGACCACAGGACAGAGGCGTGGAAGGTGATTAGCTCGAAGGAGCAATCGCATGGTCAGCTGCTAACCTTGGGCATAGACACCAAGTCGAGCGAAGTGATCGTGACGCAAAACCACTCCATGCACTACAGGTTTGGACGCGTCACGGTGCATGGCCTGAAGAAAGGCGAAAAACAAACTGAGCCAGAGGAAAGGATGGAAACAGATCTCACCGCACATCTTTTCAAAACTCAAACACTTACGCGCAAAAATTCAAGCTCGCACGCCGGCACCGTGAACGCCGACAAATGATGCAAATTCAAATGCAAGATGGCATCAGACGACTCCGTGATGCCTGACGTCATTTCGGCCGTAATGGCATACGGCGATTCTGATTGCTTTTAGGTTTAATATTGACACATGCGCATCAACGTATGTATTCCCATGTATCCCCACTATATTCCCATGTATTCTCCCTGTATTCCTAAATATTATAAATGTATTACCAGATGTGGTTGACCTCTCGGCATTCACCGTAACATTAGCATTAAACCGACATTCGTAGCGTCAAACGTGTGGCCCTTTCCACGGAAGAGCATGCATCCTGAAGGATTCATGTAATGACTTCATAGCAAATAAATATACATATCTTTATAATAACCTGAGCGAGTTTCTCTTCATCTATCTATCCAACCTACACTCCTTGTTTCAGAAAGGTTTTAACAATATGATGGTTGATTTTTTATAAAGACGGTGGATTACGCGAAATAACGTATGATTTGATGGTCAATGGCGTGGAGAGTGGGAGATTTTAATTTATTTTTATAAATAGTCAAATGGCCCACCGGGATTTTGCCCGGTGGGCCAGTCCGACACTGTCACTTTCATTCCGAAGGTAGGCAAGAAGGATGGGACAGACCGCAGATCCTTCAGACCAATAAGCCTCACATCGTTTCTTTTAAAGGCAATTGAGAAGGCAGTAGATAGCTATATCAGATTCACTACATTGGAAAGGCGGCCGCTGAACGCGAGTCAGCACGCTTACAGAGCAGGTAGATCCACTGAGACAGCTCTGTTCCAACTGACGAGTAGGATACAAGAATCTTTGGAAGGGAAAGAAGTCGCACTGTGCGCTTTCCTAGACATCGCTGGCGCCTTCGACAACACATCCCATGTGGCTATTCGGAGAGCACTAGTGAGAAGGAAAGTCAACGACACAATATCCCGATGGATGTGTAGGATGCTTGCCACAAGGACAGCAGAGACTTCAGTAGGCACCAAGTCTATTGAGGAAAGTTCGAGGGCATCCTGTGTGAACTCATACAGACCGGACTTAAAGCAACGGAGGATTGGTGTAAAACAGTGGGACAGGAGATAAACCCATCGAAAACCACTTTAGTGCCTTTAACTAGGAAAAGAGAACTTTCTAGAATGAAGGACATCCGAATACACGGAACTATCATTATACCGGCATCGGAAGTCAGATATCTGGACTGAAAACTCAGATGGAACAAACACATCGAGGGAGCTGTAACGAAGGCTACGAGGGCTCTTATGGTGTGCCGAAGCCTCGCGGGAAAATCCTGGGGATGCAAACCAGAGATCTTGGGATGGATGTACACCATGATAGTAAGACCAGATCTACTATACGGATCGGTAGTCTGGTTCAATACAGCTGAGAAGCAGAACATAAAAGCAGCTCTCAACAAACTACAGCGCCTGGCCTGCACGGGCAGTCAAGCAGCCATTAAAGCGCTGAGCTCACCAATAATCAGCTCCAGAATGGTTTGGGATTGCCAGGACAAGTTAAACAGACTGGGCAAGGATAACAGACTATCCCTCCAGTTGATAGCGGGACACGAAGGGATTGAAGGCAACGAGAAGGCGGACCAACTTGCGAAATTAGGGCACAGACCCCGATTTCAGGACCGGAACCCTTCTGCGGCATAGGGAAACACACCTATGAAGAAGCCTTCAGAAAGGAAGAGCGGGCCAAATGGAACAATCTCTGGGAGCAACTTCCAGGGTTGAGGCAATCGAAGATGTTTCTTGGGCACCCTGACCAAGGGAGACCGAAAGGCCTCACATCACTAAGCAAAAATAATCTCCGCATTCTAACCGGATTCCTCACAGGCCACTGCCGGTTAAGAGGGCACCTTGAGAGAATTAAAATTGAAAACGAGAACAGTTGCCGGTTCTGTGAGGAAGGAAAGGAAACTCCTGAACACCTTCTAACGGAATGCGAGGCGATCGGGAATACACGAATGGCCTACTTCGGATGCTACATCGTGGGACGGGAAGAAATTCCATCCATAGAACCATCCAGAGTACTTGCTTTGATAAAAGCATTAAGGCTGGATGAGGTGCTTTAAGCGAGAGTCCATCAACTGGAGCGCCAAGAAGGGGGACACAATAGATCTATGTAGGTCGCAGTGTAGCAAAACCCCCAATTAATTAATTCATTCATTCAGATGGCTGCGGAACTCGCTACGCTCGTCCCACAGAGGTCCACCCATATGTTCCGCAATAATCCACTTATTTGAACAGGGTGTTTTTTTTATATATTGACACCCCACCTACAGGCTTCACCTTTACAGGTAGAAGAAAAGTGTAAATACAAAAGTTGTACAGTTTTGGCTGAATTTTTAGAAACCATGGTCAGAAACAAAATTTGAATGTCAGAAATATGAAATTGTGCATGCTTCCAGCTTTTTTTAAAGGGGATGAAGAGCACAATGTTCCGATCTATATTTGATTGAGCAATCTCTCATATATTCGGCTTCAAAAATTGTAAAAATACTATCCTACTACTGATTTTGTGAACCATTATTGGAATCGAGAAATTGTGCTCTTGAAGAATATAGAACCAAATATAGCGCATCCCATTTGAAAAAAGCTGAAACCATGCAATATTTCACATTTCTGGCATTCAATTTTTGTTTCTGACCATGGATCCTAAAAATGTAGCTAATACTGTACAACTTTTGTATTTTTTTATCTACCTGTAAAGGTAATCGCTGTAGGTGGGGTGTCAATATATAAAAAAACCTATCTAATTATTTTTTTTTTAGCCTGAGGAACACGAAAAAATTATCGTTGAAACGTCGCACATAAATTAAAATTGTATATGAAAACAATTATTGTCCTTATTTCCCACCAAAATCTCGCAAATTAATAGTGTCCAATTATTAGACACGTGAAATGAGCCGACAAATTCTATTCTGCTGAAATTCAAGCATTTGACACCAAAGGGCTATTAATTTCCATTCGAATGAGAATGGAATTTAACATTTGATATAATAATAAAACATGAATGATGAAATGTTGATTTTGAAACAAATATGTAACGGATAAATGTATAGATCGCATATTTCAAATTCTTTTCATATTACAAAAAAAAAAAAAAACGACTGGTATAAAAATTAAAATGTACACTAGACGATCAAATTATTATCAAAAATGCCGAATGCACACAGTATATTAATAAAGTTGGATTTTTTTGTTTTAAATAGTTTAAGTATAAGCTAGTAGGTATAGAAGCGCGGTGCAAGAAGTATTAGCCAAACTGCCAAAAAGAAGAGATAGGGAGAATCGCCTAACTATTAAGAGAAATTGAAAGAATCAACTTAGTCGTAATAGGTGCTGAATGTAGAAGAGTTTGCCTGCTAAATGGATACCACTTATTTGAAATGAAACATTCAAACATAAATTCAAATATATATGGTACCATTTTTGCAAAGGAAGAATCTCAGACTCATGTTCTTTTGGGTATTAATACAATGTGTATATTAATACCAAAAAACAAGCTGGTTTTTGTGAAGAATAGAAATTAGAACACAATCAATTTTTTTTCCCCGTTAGAATGCAGCCATTGGTGGCAGTAATACCTGTAATAGTGATCTTGCAAGACCACTTGCTCGTTCCCTCTATAGTCATTTGTTTGGCTTGTTCGATCGAGTCAATGTGTGTGTCAGGATCCACCCCGAATGTCGTTCTGAGTGGGCGGTACCGGAAACAACAAACACAATAACAGAAATGGCTACCGGGTACAATATGGGTGACTTTTTGCCTTTTTGGATACCTAGATCAATAAGATGTTAATTTAAATATTTCGCGGATCTGCGCAAAAAAAAAAAACATTTGTGCTATGAATACTTTGGACCATATACATGACCTGAATACATGTATACTTAATATCAATGTTTGGTCAAACATTTTTGAGGCAAATAAACTTTCTATTTATGGGAATACTTCGAATCAATGTAAACTATACGGGCACCCGATCCAAAATAAATATTTGTTGATGCAATCGGCACGATTATTTGAAAGTTCGTATCCCAGATCGGTGGATAAAAAAAAACATACGTAATTGAATTAAAACTTTGAAGATAAATTTGAAATTTAAAACACTGGATGTAAATTAAAAATCGCTTTGAAAACATCAAAACTCGGCTAATGACTAGGATCAGAATTTCAGCAACAGGTCATGTAAATGCCATTCTTGGGTAGTTGCCAGCAATGTGCAAGCAAAATTTGCTAATTTTAACTCTGAAGGATATATGGAGTAAATGTAAATATTTCTCTCTTAATCTTTTTGAATAGAGAAAGCTTAATCGATCTATTGAATAAAAGAATGTTTGAACCACAACCATCAACAACTAAAATCACTTTTATTGATTATTGTGTTTTGGTTTGGCAAAAATGTAATTTTTCTCAAAAGGCATTTTATTGTCACTGTCCCAAGTTGTATACGGTAGCCCTCAAAATCGTAAAAAAAGTGTAACTGGTAAAAGTAGAGGAGTAAAAGAGTAGAGAGTAGAGTAGGTTCACAATACAAAAATATATATATAAAAAAAAAACTACTTAAGGAAATCTAAGCAAATTAAACAAGGAAATTTACACACTATTGAGGAACAGAAGGAGGCATTTATTATGCTTTAAGCCATATAAACTAATTTAGTTTCTACCCCTAACATGTGAATTTTTGGCCTGTCAGTTTAAATTGGCAATCGAATTTGTAATTAACTTTTTGTACTACTTTTTTCCTACGAATCCCAAAATTTTGTGGTCCGGCCTCAGGCTAGGGTTGCGTATTTTACTGTGCGTTTTTGCTCTTGTTTATCTGTAATTACCGGAAAAACTTTTGGAAGCTATTAACGCAATAATTATGGTCTTTCGTTATGCTGATAACTTGTTTTGCTAGTGAATAAATAATCATTGAAGGGTCGGTTATATACACAAGGCTATTTAATAACGAATATCGATGCATATGTACTCTCCTCACTCACTCGAAAGCACGTCTCAAACGAATCTCATGCAAATCATCCACTAAACGTGAAACCCAAAAAGAATTCATAGGACGCTGTACGATACTATTCAACCGCCTAGTTATGGCCCAAAATTCAACGGTATCTAATATTCGAGCTCAAGCACTCTGCACATCAATAATCCTGTCAGGTCATTCGGTCGTACTTCTAGTTAGGCCTATTATTTCCCGTTCCATGACAAACCGTGTAACACAGGATCTCGCTGTGTCTCATGACCTAATAGCCCTTAGTGACGAGGACGATCATAATTATGAGCAGATAATTTCCGCAGCAACTGGGAATAGTCTAGTCTCACATCCAGTGTGTTTTAACGGAATTCTTTTGATCGGCCCCCACCCCGTCGAATCATTTTGATTTTGTCATCCTCATATGTTCAGCCATCTTCATTGTCGATGCTTCAATCTTTCGCCATCAATCTTCAGTTCAGATACGATACATTTGCCGGACCATCAGATCAGGCGAACAGTCTCAGGTTCAGTTCGAGGATGAATATCCCGACTTCTTCCAATAAGTCTATCTTGTCTCCACCCGCCCCAACGCAACTTCAGTCACCCCAGTCCATATCTTGATCTTGGTGAGAGATTGGACAACTTTCAGTATTCCCTGCTTCGTGGCAGAGATCTGAGTCGTTCATTTCTGTCTCCCCCCTATAACAAACGTCAGGATGTATCTTCTTGGGGTATCCAGTTTAACGGTCAGACCAGTGTGACTGATGTCCTTGAGCGCATACGAGTTCGGTCTTTAGGATGAAATTCATGGTGATTGGTTTTGTTGTAGCTATGGAGAGGCTCTCTTTCGCAAATTACTCACTCCACCTCCGGAGGGTACTCGGCTCCAAGTAATTCGTCGAAATCTTCTTCCACACATTCAGCAACCTTTGTCAACTGAACGGGTGGAGAAACTTCAGTATCTCCTGCGTCGAAGTCGATCCATTGAAGAAACCGAAGCTCGTGTCCAACAATTTTCCCCGCCTCCGACGAATTACGGCACCCTTTTGGAACCTCATCTTGTGTCGCTCTATTTAATGAACTGACAGAAACCTTACACCCTGTCGAACCTGATCTTGCCGACAATGAACATTTCGATTTGGCAACCATTCAAACCTCTCCGCTCCCTTGTTGGAACTGTCATGAAATTGGTCATAACTTCCGCCAGTGTTCAAAAACGCATCACGTCATCTTGGACTACGTTTTGTCGCACGCCAAGGCAGCTATGGGTAAAAAAATTGGCTGTACTCAGCTGATGGAACTTGTCATCAAGATCGATTCCCCACTCGTCAAGCAGCGCTATTACCCCTTATATCCGGCTCTACAGAAGGTATAGTTAATACGGAGCTTGATCAAATGTTGATTGATGAAATTATCGAACCATCGGACTTTCCCTGGTCGTGTTCAATAGTAATGATCCGTAAAAAGTCAGGAAATTGGAGATTTTGTGTCGACTATAGGTCTTTAAATAAGGTTACTACTCCAGACTCTTACCCCCTTTCCTACGTCGGCTCCATCTTAGATAAACTCCGTTTCTTAACTACCCTTGAGATCAAGTCAGCTTACTGGCAAATTCCTATAAGACACTCGACCTCAGTACAGTGAACGCCGTGTCACTGTACCTTCGCGAGGTTTATTCCATTTCAAAAGAATACTGTTTGGGTTGAATAACGCCCCAGCAATATGGCAAAGGTTGATTGGCAGGCCCACCTTTGATATCAAGTCAGTTTACTGGCAAATTCCCATCGCCAAAGACTTTCGACCCCTCACTGCGTTTACTGTACCTTCACGAGGCTTATTCCATTTCAAAAGAATGCCGTTTGGGTTGACTAACGCCCCAGCAGTATCGCAAAGGTTGATTGACAGATTGTTTGTTGGAAGTTATGCTAACTGAACTTCACCATTTTCAACCTTTTCTCTTATGAAGTAAAACCTCACATCAATGTGCGTCGTTCTTCTGTTCAGAACAGGATTACTTACTGCGACATTCCCAAGAAACAACTGCATCAGCACATTTGAAACAAAAACCAGTGTATTACTTTCGATTTGTCGCATCACTAGCTCAATCTGCATCGGTGTATCCAGTCAATTTTTTTTTCAGATTTCCGATAAACTGATGCTTTGTCTGCTGTTCCTTTGAGATATCTCAATACGCGCTTCACAGATTGCCAGTGTTCTTGACCATACTTAGTATTGAACTGGCTCAAATAGGAGCATGCAAAAGCAATATCAGATCTAGAAGTGACACTCAAATACATTAGACATCCAATTAGCTGCTAATATGGCACATTCAGGCTCTTTTCGCTTACTAATAGTAGTTTCATATGTGAATCCATTGGTTTACTGATTGGTTTACAATCCAAACTTCCTTAGTACATCCATGACATACTTTCTCTGACTGATAGAAATACTACCATTTCGATTTTTATGCAATTTCAAACAGTTATGTATAACTCCAAGATCTTTGATTTTGTGACGTTATGGTTGCCTCTTCAATTTCTCAACTTCATTTTCATCATTGTGAAAAATAGAAAAGTCGTCCACGTACAATGCAATGATAACTATGGAGTTATTTTTCTCCATAGTATAGACGCAACTTTCGTGTGCTGCTTGTAATTAAGTTTTTTCAAAAACTTGTCAACTTTCTATTCCAGGATCTTGAAGCTTGTTTTATTTCGTATAATGCTTTTCGAAGAAGACACACTTTATTATCCTTCCCCTCAATGACGAAACCTTCTGGTTGATATATGTAGATTATCTCATCTAGTTCTCCAGTGACAACATCCAAATGTACCATTTAAAGGTTAAATTGAACAACCAATACAAAAAGCAAACGTATTGATGAATATCTAATTACTGGTGAAAAAGTATCAAAGTAATCTATGCCATACTCTTGTGAGAACCCCTTGGCTACTAGTCTGGCTTTGTAACATACATTTTTTCCATCGGTATCTTGTTTTACTTTGTACACCCATTTAGATTTGACAATGTTAACTTCTTTTGGCTTTTCAACTAGAATCCAAGTACCATATTCATGAAGTGAATCAATTTCATCTTGCATTGCAACTCTCCACTCTGAAGAAAAATCACTAGAAATTACTCCATTGAATGTTTTTGGCTCAGAAAAATCAAACAAAATTTGATATACCAGATGACCCGGGAATTCTTTTTGTTTCTGATGATATACATAAGGTCGAAGTAATCTGATTATCTGATTAAGACCTTTATCCTCGTAAGCTGCTTTCAAATTATCCCAAGCATCAACAGGTTTTCCACATTTTCTTATGTGAGGATAACATCAAGGTGGAACCATCAAACAAATCTTTGTAAGAGCTTTTTGATCTTTCTTACTTTTTACTGCTTTTGTTGTCGTATCGCCTTCTGGATAGCTATTTATAGAGACCCAAAGATCTTCATGACAAAGTAGCATCTTCATAGCAAACGACTAATCACAATAATTCTCACTTCCTCTTAACTTATCAAAAGAAGGAGCTGAACTGGAACTTTCAGCATAACTTACAGTAGAAGACTATTTGAAATTTGCTCGAAAAAATGTCTATAAAATCCTACCTTTTTAAAAAGAAATTTTTTTTACTACTAACCTGAGAAATTGTCATTATTCAATCTATTTTTCTAGGAAAAAATTGAATTTCTCTCCCTAGGTGAATAATGAAAATAAT